CCCTTGACCTTGTTTGTACTGTTGCTATATATATACACCTGCTCTTGCTTGTCTAGCCTTATATATATATGTAATCCTGCATGTGAAACTCGCCTTGTGGCCTTGAACTTGTGCTCGGAATGTGTGGTGACTTTGTGATCCCCCTGAGCTTGCTTTGCTTTGCTTGACTGGTCTGTGACCCCCTGTTCTCCCCCACTTTGCCTATGGGGGTGTGTCAGATTTATATGACATAGCTACTGTAGGCTATAGTGGGGTACACATATGGGGTACAGCTTTCTGGGGTTTTGTACATGTACCCAACTTTCCCTTAGTCATTTCATTCTCGTTCTCTTTCCTCACAACCAAGGGCCAGAGAGGCCCGTAACTAACCAAACCAATGCGCAACGAGAAATTGTCAGAAAACATTGATTTCTCGTGTATGTTTGTTCACAATATACATTTTCGCTCGCACGTCATGTCAAGTATTATAGCTGATGCATGTTTGTAGGCTATAGTGGGGTAGCACATATGGGGTACAGGGTTTCTAGGGTTGTATTTGTACCCAATCTTTCCTTAGTCATTTTCATTCCTGTTTTCCTTGCTTCACATGGTATAGAGCGGGTCCTGCCTTAGGACCGTTTTTTTTAGGGCCCACCGAAGCGCGCCCCGAGGCGCGCCCTTTTTTTTAGCGACCCCTCGGGTCACCTTTCCTCGCGGCCCCGCTGTCCCTCAGACGCGCCCCGCACCTCTCTGATCGCCTCGCGGCCCCGCCGCCTGCTTGACGCGGCCCCCGCCGCCTCCCCTGACGCGGCTCCGCCGCCTCCCCTGACGCGGCCCCGCCGCCTCCCCTGACGCGGCCCCGCCGCCTCTCCTGACGCGGCCCCGCCTCTACTGCCGCGGCCCGCCGCCGCCTCAGACGGCCCGCCGATGCACCCTACGGCCCGCCGCTGCTCCTGCCGTCCCGCGTCTCACCTGACGGCCCCCCCTGCTCCTGCCGGCCCGCCGCTGCTCCTGCGGCCCGCCGCTGCACCTGCCGGCCCCGCCGCTGCACCCAGCGGCCCGCCGCCTCTGACGGCCCCGCCGCTGCACCCTTCGGCCCGCCGCTGCTTCTGCCGGCCCGCCGCCTCACCTGACGGCCCCCCCCCGCCGCTTGCACTGCCGGCCCGCCGCTGCACCCTACGGCCCGCCGCTGCACCTAGACGCCCGCCGCCTGCCCCTGCCGGCCCGCCGCTGCACCTGCCGGCCCGCCGCTGCACCTGCCGGCCCGCCGCTGCACCTGCCGGCCCGCCGCTGCACCTGCCGGCCCGCCACTGCACCGGGTCGACCCGCCGCTGCACCTGACGGCCCCGCCCCTGCATCTCCCCGCCGAGCCGCCCAACGCCGAGCCGCCCGGGCCCGAGCCGCCCTGCCGCCGAGCCGCCCGGGAGCCGAGCCGCCCTGCAGCCGCCAGCCGCCGAGCCGCCCGGAGCCGAGCCGCCCTGCCCCGAGCCGCCGGGCCGCCCCCCCCCGGCGCCGAGCCGCTTGTGCACCCGAGCCGCCCGGTCGCTGAGCTGCCTTTCTGCATAGCTGCACGACCTGCCCTGCCTGGTGAGCACTGTCCCACTGACACTGCGAGCTCTTTCCCTACTGCTTGCACTGCGTCGCTGTCGTCGCCATGGCTACCCCTAGTGTCCTAGCTTTTGACGCTGAGGGTCGCGCCATTGATTTTGAGGTCTGGTTAGACGACCTGCAGCTCTTCTTACAGTGCGACAGGGCTGACGACCTTCTCTCTTTGACCTCACCTCTGGCGCCTCTCCTGCTCCTGCTGCTGATGCTGATCCCGCTGTCCGCTCTAAGTGGGCCACCCGCGATGCTGCTGCACGTCTTGCTGTGCGTCGCCACCTTCCTACCTCTGAGCGTGCGCACTTTAGTCAGTACAAGAGTGCTCAGACCTTGTACGACGCTGTAGTTGCGCGCTACTCCTCCCCTGCCACTGCTGCACTGAGCCGTCTCATGCTTCCCTACCTCTTTCCTGACCTCTCTGCCTTTCCCACTGTCGCTGACCTCATTACGCACCTCCGCACTAGTGACACTCGCTACCGCCGCGCCGCCCTTCCTGCTGAGTTCTGCGCTAAGAACCCCCCCCCATGTACATCGCTCTCTACTACGTAGTCGCGCGCCTCCCTGACTCCCTTCGCGTCGTCAGGGACCACTTTCTCGCAGTCTGTCCCCCACCCTCACCGTCGACCTCCTCGAGAAGGCCCTCCTCGCAGCGGAGAAGAGCATAGTCGCTGTAGGTGCTTCTCGTGGTGACCCTCGCACCCCCATCTTTGAGGGGTGCTCTCCTCCCCCTTGCTGCCCTCTGTTGCCTCTGCTGCTGCTGCCGACCTGCTTGGTCTTGAGTCGGTCGGCGCGGCGTCTGCCCCTAGTGGGAGACGTCGCTCCAGCAAGGGCAAGGGGGGCAAGGGCGCGGGTGGAGCTGGAGGGGGCGGTGGCGGTGGCGGCGGTGGCGGCGGAGGGAGTGGGGGTGAGGCGGGACTAGTGGTGGAGGTGGTGGTGGTGGTGGCAGCAGCGGCGGAGACGGTGGTGGTGGTGCCAGCGGTGGTGGTGGAGGCAGCGGCGGTGGTGGAGGCGGCGGAGGTGGAGGCGGTGGAGGCGGCAGCGGAGGAGGCGGTGGTGGTGGAGGAGGTGGAGCTGGTCGGGTGGTACCCAGCAGCGTAGCGGCGGTGGTGGTGGCCAGCGCTCGCAGCGGCAGCAGCAGCAGCGCTCGCGGGACATCCCTTCGCCTCAGCAGCTTCGTGAGTGGTACGCTGGGCGTCAGAGGGGTGGGGGTACTGGTCCCTGCACCTACGTTCTTCGTTCCGGCGACCGCGCGGTGAGCAGTGTGGGGGTGCCCACGCCACCCAGCGCTGCTTTGGCCGCCTGACGGACGCTTGGCGTCAGCAGTTCCCTGGGGCTAGTGAGATCCCTCGCTGGGATGAGCTTCTCAGGGCTGGTGTAGCGATCTTTGATCTTGATTTTGATGCTATCCTTGCTGCTATGTATGTTGTGGATTATAGTGAGGAGAATGAGGGTTACCGTTGTTTCCAGCCCGACCCGGGCATTGGTACTGCTGCGCTAGGTGCTTGTGAGGCTGCTGCTCTAGGTGCCAGTGCGTCTGTGCTCTCAGGTACTGGTGAGACTGCGCTCTCAGGTATGCGTCGTCCTCGTCCTCCCTCACTTTCACACTTGACTCCGGAGCTTCTCGCTCCTTCTTTCGAGACCGCACTACCCTTACGCCGCTTGCCGGCCGGTTGCGGTCTCCCTTGCTGACCCCTCTGGGGGTCCTGTCCTGTCTCACTTCTCCACTGTCCTCCCGTGTCCGGCTGCCCCCTTCGGGCACCCTGTCGGTCTGTACCTTCCCTCGTTCTCTACGAACTTGGTGAGTGGAGCGGACCTGCAGGATGTGGGGGTTTCACCAGTTCACTCCTGCGAGTCAGCGGGTGACCCACTGCACGGAGGCACGCACAGGCCGACACCTGGCCACGTTCTCGCGTCGGTCGGGGTCGAGTCTCTACACCCTGACCGTTGAGTCTCCTCCTGTCCCTGCGTCTGGTCAGGTGGCTGCGTCGGGTCAGGTGCTTGCTGCTGCGTCCCGGTCAGGTCCTGAGTCTGCCCCCTGTTCTTGTCGCCTCCTGTCTCACGAGACTCTCCTGTGGCACCACCGTCTTGGCCACCCCTCCTTGCCCCGTCTTCGGAGCATGGCTTCCCGTGTCCTTGTCTCTGGTCTTCCCCAGTCTCTCCCTCCTCTCCCCTCCGGGCCAGGACCTTCCTGTGTCCCCTGTGTCGAGGGTCGCCTCCGGGCTACTCCTCACTCCTCCCACTTCCCCCCGACAGAGGCTCCCCTGCAGACGCTTCACATGGATGTGTGGGGCCCAGCCCCCGTCCGTGGGCAGGGTTACGAGCGCTACTTCCTGTTGGTGGTTGACGACTACTCGCGTTACACCACAGTCCTCCCCTTGCGCAGCAAGGGTGCGGTCACTGAGGTGCTGATCGACTGGATCCGCGAGGCTCGTCTCCAGCTCAGGAAGAGCTTCGGCTCGGACTTTCCTGTTCTGCGTCTGCACTCTGACAGAGGCGGAGAGTTCTCTTCTCGCCTTCTGCGGGACTACTGTCGTGCACGGGGGATCCGCAAGACCTTCACGCTTCCGGACTCACCACAGCAAAATGGGATTGCTGAGCGCCGCATTGGTATGGTCATGGATGTCGCTCGTACGTCCATGATGCATGCGGCTGCCCCCCATTTTCTGTGGCCGTTTGCGGTGAGGTACGCGGCGCATCAACTCAACCTTCACCCCCGGGTCTCTCGGCCTGCGATATCCCCAGCCTTGCTGTGGACGGGGAAGGTTGGCGATGCGTCTGTGTTCCGTGTCTGGGGATCTCGGGCGTTTGTCCGCGACTTGTCTGCGGACAAGCTGTCCCTCGTGCTGCTCCCTGTGTCTTCCTTGGCTTCCCCACTGACGCCCCAGGGTGGCAGTTTTACCACCCCTCCTCTCGTCGTGTTCTGTCCTCCCAGGACGTCACGTTCGACGAGTCAGTCCCCTTCTACCGTCTCTTCCCCTACCGCACTCCTTCCCTCCCCCCTCCCCCGGACTTCCTTGTGCCGGTTCCCCCCCGGTAGACCCCCTCCCCCCTCAGGTTCCTGCCCCCTCAGGTGTGTCCCAGGTAGACGCCGTTGACCCGGTCGAGGTTACTGGTGACTCTGGTGCTGCTGCGGGTGCTGAGCCTGGAGGTGCTGACTCTGGGGGTGCTGTGCGCGGGGGTGCTGAGCCTGGGGGTGCTACTGCTGGGGGTGCTGGGCCTGAGGGTGCTACTGCGGAGGGTACGGAGCCTGGGGGTGCTGAGCCGGGGGGTGCTGTGCCTGGAGGTGCTGGGTCTGGGGGTGCTGGTTCGGGAGCTGCTGAGCCTGGGGGTGCTGAGCTGGGAGCTGCTGAGCCTGGGGGTGCTGCGTCTGGAGCTGCTGAGCCTGGGGTTTCTCCTACTGCTGCGTCTCGCCGGGAGCCCTCTCTCCACAGGAGCTGCGCGAGTGGTTCGCTCGCCGCTGGAGGCGTGCTGCTGAGTCTGGAGGTGCTGCTGGAGCTGGAGCTGGAGCTTCTTCGACCGTCGAGGGTGCGGGTGCTGCCGGTCCCGGAGCTGCTGGACCTGCGGGTCCTCCTGGTGCTGGAGCTGCTGAGGGCGCTGGTGCTGCGCCTACTGCTGTTGGTCCTGCCGCTGGAGGTGTGGGTGGCGCTGGTGCTGTCGCTGAGGGTGCTGGTGCTGTCCCTGCTGCGTCTGGAGCTGCCGCGCGGCCTCGGCCGTACTTCGTTCCGCTCCTGCAGCAGGTTCTTGGTCTTTCTCCTCCAGTAGAGGGTCCACCGCCTGTCCAGTCGCAGTCCCTGCTGGAGCCTTCCTCTCCACTGCCTGCTCCCTCTCCTTACACTGGTCCTACTGGAGGTCTTGCTGAGCGTCGTGAGCCTGCGTCTCGTCCCGCGTCGCCTGTTCGCACTGCTCGCGCTAGTGGTCGCAGTTCGCGTCAGCGTCCTCCTCCTGTCCCTGGCACGCACCGGATGTCTTTGCGTCCGTCCACTGCTCCTCTGCGTGCCCCTTTGCCTTCTCCTCCTGAGTCCTCTCTTCCTGCGCTTGCCGACCCTGGGTCGGACTCTCTTCGTGCTGCCAGTCCTACTGTCACGCGTCTGCTTGCTACTGTCGTCACTGACCCCTCTTTTGAGTCCACTGCTGCGTCTGCTCTAGACGCTGAGCTCGTCGACTTTGCTGCTCGCTGTCGTCTTGACTACGCTGCCAGTCTTGTTGCTGAGTCTGCGTCTGTCTGACCTCCGTCCGTCGGGGGTGAGTGTGCTCTTGGCACGGACGTCCTAGAGGACAGGCAGGAGGAGTTACAGTGTCTAGTGGCTGCTTCACCTCATCTCGCGTCTGTACTGCTTGCCCCTGAGGGAGACCCGGATGCACTAGACATCCCGACTCCGCGTTCTTACGCGGAGGCCGTAGAGGGTCCCTACTCCTCTCAGTGGCAGGCAGCTATGGATGCAGAGATGGCATCCTGGAAGTCCACAGGCACCTACGTTGACGCGGTTTCCCCCCTCCTGGGGCAAACATCGTCAGTGGCATGTGGATCTTCAGGGTGAAGCGGCCGCCGGGCTCTCCACCTGTCTTCAAGGCACGGTACGTTGCTCGTGGCTTCAGTCAGCGGCAGGGAGTTGACTACTTTCAGACCTTCTCTCCACACCGCGAAGATGACTACTCTTCGGGTACTGCTGCACATAGCCGCTCAGCGCGACTACGAGCTTCAATCCCTCGACTTCAGCACTGCGTTCTTGCAGGGTAGCCTGCACGAGGAGATCTGGCTTCGCCGTCCACCTGGCCTTCACTGGGACTTTCCCTCCTGGCACCCAGTGGAGCCTCCGACGGCTAGTCTACGGTCCTCCGCCAGGCACCGCGTGAGTGGCACGACACACTGAGGACTACGCTTGCGGCTCTTGGGTTTGCTCCTTTCTACTGCTGACCGTCGCTGTTTCTTCGCACCGACACTTCCCTGCCGCCGTTCTACATCCTCGTGTACGTCGACGACTTGGTCTTTGCCACAGCGGACACTGCTGGACTCGCCTACGTGAAGTCCGAGCTGCTGAAGAGACACACGTGCACAGACCTGGGTGAACTGCGCAGCTACCTTGGCTTGCAGATCACTCGGGACAGAGCACGCCGCACCATTACCTTGACTCAGTCACACATGGTGCAGCAGGTCCTTCAGCGCTTCGGCTTCACGTACTCCTCGCCTCAGGCCACTCCTCTGCCTACTCGCCACTCACTCTCAGCTCTGCCTTCGGATGAGTCCGTAGAGTCGAGTGGTTCCGTATGCAGAGCTTGTTGGCTGCCTCATGTACCTGATGACCTGCACACGACCTGACCTTGCATACCCTCTGAGCATTCTTGCACGCTATGTTGCTCCTGGGAGACACAGACCAGAGCACATGGCTGCAGCGAAGAGGGTATTGCGCTACCTGTGCAGTACGTCGGGCATGGGGCTAGTGCTTGGAGGGCGGAGTTCAGTGGTCCTTAACGGCCACGCGGACGCTTCTTGGGCTGACGACCAGGCTACGCAGCGGTCGTCACAGGGTTACACCTTCAGCCTTGGTTCCGGCTCTGTCTCGTGGCGGTCTATTCGCTCGTCTTCGGTTCTCGGCTCCAGTTGTGAGGCTGAGATCTACGCCGGGGCCATGGCTGCACAGGAGCTTCGCTGGCTCACCTACCTGCTGACTGACCTTGGAGAGCCGCCTCGTTCTCCTCCAGTGCTGTACGTAGACAACAAGGCCATGCTGGCCTTGTGTCGAGAGCAGCGCTTGGAGCACAGAACGAAGCACATTGCTCTCCGCTACTTCCTTGCTCGTGAGCTGCAGCAGCGTGGTCAGTTGCGACTTGCGTACGTGGCCTCTGAGGCCAACACTGCTGATGTGTTCACCAAGGCACTCGCGCCTTGTGACCATCACCGCTTTTGCACCCAGCTGGGTCTTGTGCCTGTCTTGCCTCACTTGCTCTCCTCTTGACTTCACTTGTACTGTGACATATATGTATACCTGCTCTTGCCTGTCTAGTTTTATATATATGTCTATACTCCTGCATGTGAACTGGCCTCTGGCCCTGCTCTTGTGCTCGGACTGTGTGGTGACTTTGTGATCCACCCTGAGCTTGCTTTGCTTTGCTTTGCTTGACTGGTCTTGTGACCCCTTGTTCTCCCCCACTTAGCCTATGGGGGTGTGTCAGAGTATTATAGCTGATGCATGTTTGTAGGCTATAGTGGGGTAGCACATATGGGGTACAGGGTTTCTAGGGTTGTATTTGTACCCAATCTTTCCTTAGTCATTTTCATTCCTGTTTTCCTTGCTTCACACGTCATTCATTCATGGAAATCGTTCATGATTCATGACCTTCCACCCAATAGAGTCGTTTATCGAGCTAGAAACTCTTAGGGCATCTAAAAAAAACGAAAACTCCTAGGGAACCTGTGTGAAGCAAGGAAAAACAGGAATGAAATGACTATGAAAGATTGGGTACAAATACAACCCTAGAAACACTGTACCCCATATGTGCTACCCCACTATAGCCTACAGAAACTATGTCATATAAATCTGACACACCCCCATAGGCAAAGTGGGGGAGAACAAGGGGTCACAAGACCAGTCAGGTAAAGCAAAGCAGAGCAAGCTCAGGGTGGATCACAACGTCACCACACAGTCCCGAGCACAAGAGCAGGGCCAGAGGCCAGTTCACATGCAGGAGTACAGACATATTATATATATAGAACTAGACAAGCAAGAGCAGGTATATATATATGTCACAGTACAAGTGAAGTCAAGAGGAGAGCAAGTGAGGCAAGACAGGCACAAGACCCAGCTGGGTGCAAAAGCGCTGATGGTCACAAGGCGCGAGTGCCTTGGTGAACACATCAGCACTATTGGCCTCAGAGGCCACGTACGCAAGTCGTAACTGACCACGCTGCTGCAGCTCACGAGCAAGGAAGTAGCGGAGAGCAATGTGCTTCGTTCTGTGCTCCAAGCGCTGCTCTCGACACAAGGCCAGCATGGCCTTGTTGTCTACGTACAGCACTGGCGGAGAACGAGGTGGCTCTCTAAGGTCAGTCAGCAGGTAGGTGAGCCAGCGAAGCTCCTGTGCAGCCATGGCCCCGGCGTAGATCTCAGCCTCACAACTGGAGCCGAGAACCGAAGACGAGCGAGTAGACCGCCACGAGACAGAGCCGGAACCAAGGCTGAAGGTGTAACCCTGTGACGACCGCTGCGTAGCCTGGTCGTCAGCCCAAGAAGCGTCCGCGTGGCCGGTAAGGACCACTGGACTCCGCCCTCCAAGCACTAGCCCCATGCCCGACGTGCTGCACAGGTAGCGCAATACCCTCTTCGCTGCAGCCATGTGCTCTGGTCTGTGTCTCCCAGGAGCAACATAGCGAGCAAGAATGCTCAGAGGGTATCTAAGGTCAGGTCGTGTGCAGGTCATCAGGTACATGAGGCAGCCAACAAGCTCTGCATACGGACCACTCGACTCTACGGACTCATCCGAAGGCAGAGCTGAGAGTGAGTGGCGAGTAGGCAGAGGAGTGGCCTGAGGCGAGGAGTACGTGAAGCCGAAGCGCTGAAGGACCTGCTGCACCATGTGTGACTGAGTCAAGGTAATGGTGCGGCGTGCTCTGTCCCGAGTGATCTGCAAGCCAAGGTAGCTGCGCAGTTCACCCAGGTCTGTGCACGTGTGTCTCTTCAGCAGCTCGGACTTCACGTAGGCGAGTCCAGCAGTGTCCGCTGTGGCAAAGACCAAGTCGTCGACGTACACGAGGATGTAGAACGGCGGCAGGGAAGTGTCGGTGCGAAGAAACAGCGACGGGTCAGTAGTAGAAGGAGCAAACCCAAGAGCCGCAAGCGTAGTCCTCAGTGTGTCGTGCCACTCACGCGGTGCCTGGCGGAGACCGTAGACTGGCCGTCGGAGGCTCCACTGGGTGCCAGGAGGGAAAGTCCCAGTGAAGCCAGGTGGACGGCGAAGCCAGATCTCCTCGTGCAGGCTACCCTGCAAGAACGCAGTGCTAAAGTCGAGAGAAGTGAAGCTCGTAGTCGCGCTGAGCGGCTATGTGCAGCAGCACCCGAAGAGTAGTCATCTTCGGGGTGGGAGAGAAGGTCTGAAAGTAGTCAAACTCCCTGCCGCTGACTGAAGCCACGAGCAACGTACCGTGCCTTGAAGACAGGTGGAGAGCCCGGCGGCCGCTTCACCCTGAAGATCCACATGCCACTGACGATGTTCGCCCCAGGAGGGGGAACCGCGTCAACGTAGGTGCCTGTGGACTTCCAGGAAGCCATCTCTGCATCCATAGCTGCCTGCCACTGAGAGGAGTAGGGACCCTCTACGGCCTCCGCGTAAGAACGCGGAGTCGGGATGTCTAGTGCATCCGGGTCTCCCTCAGGGGCAAGCAGTACAGACGCGAGATGAGGTGAAGCAGTCGCTAGACACTGTAACTCCTCCTGCTTGTCCTCTAGGACGTCCGTGCCAAGAGCACACTCACCCCCGACGGACGGAGGACAGACAGACGCAGACTCAGTAACAAGACCAGCAGCGTAGTCGAGACGACAGCGAGCAGCAAAGTCGACGAGCTCAGCGTCTAGAGCAGACGCAGCAGTGGACTCAAAAGAGGGGTCAGTGACGACAGTAGCAAGCAGACGCGTGACAGTAGGACTGGCAGCACGAAGAGAGTCCGACCCAGGGTCGGCAAGCGCAGGAAGAGAGGACTCAGGAGGAGAAGGCAAAGGGGCACGCAGAGGAGCAGTGGACGGACGCAAAGACATCCGGTGCGTGCCAGGGACAGGAGGAGGACGCTGACGCGAACTGCGACCACTAGCGCGGGCAGTGCGAACAGGCGACGCGGGACGAGACGCAGGCTCACGACGCTCAGCAAGACCTCCAGTAGGACCAGTGTAAGGAGAGGGAGCAGGCAGTGGAGAGGAAGGCTCCAGCAGGGACTGCGACTGGACAGGCGGTGGACCCTCTACTGGAGGAGAAAGACCAAGAACCTGCTGCAGGAGCGGAACGAAGTACGGCCGAGGCCGCGCGGCAGCTCCAGACGCAGCAGGGACAGCACCAGCACCCTCAGCGACAGCACCAGCACCCTCAGCGACAGCACCAGCGCCACCCACACCTCCAGCGGCAGGACCAACAGAGGTAGACTCAGCACCAGCGCCCGCAGCAGCTCCTGCTCCGGGAGGACCCGCAGGTCCAGCAGCTCCGGGACCGGCAGCACCCGCACCCTCGACGGTCGAAGAAGCTCCAGCTCCAGCTCCAGCAGCACCTCCAGACTCAGCAGCACGCCTCCAGCGGCGAGCGAACCACTCGCGCAGCTCCTGTGGAGAGAGGGGCTCCCGGCGAGACGCAGCAGCAGGAGAAACCCCAGGCTCAGCAGCTCCAGACGCAGCACCCCCAGGCCCAGCAGCTCCCACCTCAGCACCCCCAGGCTCAGCAGCTCCCGACCCAGCACCCCCAGACCCAGCACCTCCAGGCACAGCACCCCCCGGCTCAGCACCCCCAGGCTCGTCACCCTCCGCAGTAGTACCCTGAGGCCCAGCACCCCCAGCAGTAGCACCCCCAGGCTCAGCGCCCCCACGCACAGCACCCCCAGAGTCAGCACCCCCAGGCTCAGCACCCGCAGCAGCACCAGAGTCACCAGTAACCTCGACCGGGTCAACGGCGTCTACCTGGGACACACCTGAGGGGGCAGGAACCTGAGGGGGGAGGGGGTCTACCGGGGGGGGAACCGGCACAAGGAAGTCCGGGGGAGGGGGGAGGGAAGGAGTGCGGTAGGGGAAGAGACGGTAGAAGGGGACTGACTCGTCGAACGTGACGTCCTGGGAGGACAGAACACGACGAGAGGAGGGGTGGTAAAACTGCCACCCTGGGGCGTCAGTGGGGAAGCCAAGGAAGACACAGGGAGCAGCACGAGGGGACAGTTTGTCCGCAGACAAGTCGCGGACAAACGCCCGAGATCCCCAGACACGGAACACAGACGCATCGCCAACCTTCCCCGTCCACAGCAAGGCTGGGGACATCGCAGGCCGAGAGACCCGGGGGTGAAGGTTGAGCTGATGCGCCGCGTACCTCACCGCAAACGGCCACAGAAAATGGGGGGCAGCCGCATGCATCATGGACGTACGAGCGACATCCATGACCATGCCAATGCGGCGCTCAGCAATCCCATTTTGCTGTGGTGAGTCCGGAAGCGTGAAGGTCTGGCGGATCCCCCGTGCACGACAGTAGTCTCGCAGAAGGCGAGAAGAGAACTCTCCGCCTCTGTCAGAGTGCAGACGCAGAACAGGAAAGTCCGAGCCGAAGCTCTTCCTGAGCTGGAGACGAGCCTCGCGGATCCAGTCGATCAGCACCTCAGTGACCTCACCCTTGCTGCGCAAGGGGAGGACTGTGGTGTAACGCGAGTAGTCGTCAACCACCAACAGGATGTAGCGCTCGTAACCCTGCCCACGGACGGGGGCTGGGCCCCACACATCCATGTGAAGCGTCTGCAGGGGAGCCTCTGTCGGGGGGAAGTGGGAGGAGTGAGGAGTAGCCCGGAGGCGACCCTCGACACAGGGGACACAGGAAGGTCCTGGCCCGGAGGGGAGAGGAGGGAGAGACTGGGGAAGACCAGAGACAAGGACACGGGAAGCCATGCTCCGAAGACGGGGCAAGGAGGGGTGGCCAAGACGGTGGTGCCACAGGAGAGTCTCGTGAGACAGGAGGCGACAAGAACAGGGGGCAGACTCAGGACCTGACCAGGACGCAGCAGCAAGTACCTGACCCGACGCAGCCACCTGACCAGACGCAGGGACAGGAGGAGACTCAACGGTCAGGGTGTAGAGACTCGACCCCGGCCGACGCGAGAACGTGGCCAGGTGTCGGCCTGTGCGTGCCTCCGTGCAGTGGGTCACCCGCTGACTCGCAGGAGTGAACTGGTGAACACCCACATCCTGCAGGTCCGCTCCACTCACCAAGTTCGTAGAGAACGAGGGAAGGTACAGACCCGACAGGGTGCCCGAAGGGGCAGCCGGGACACGGGAGGATAGTGGAGAAGTGAGACAGGACAGGACCCCCAGAGGGGTCAGCAAGGGAGACTGCAACCGGCCGGCCGAGCGGCGGTAAGGGTAGTGCGGTCTCGAAAGAAGGAGCGAGAAGCTCCGGAGTCAAGTGTGAAAGTGAGGGAGGATGAGGACGACTCAGTACCTGAGAGCGCAGTCTCACCAGTACCTGAGAGCGCAGACGCACTGGCACCTAGAGCAGCAGCCTCACAAGTACCTAGCGCAGCAGTACCAATGCCCGGGTCGGGCTGGAAACAACGGTAACCCTCATTCTCCTCACTATAATCCACAACATACATAGCAGTAAGGATAGCATCAAAATCAAGATCAAAGATCGCTACACCAGCCCTGAGAAGCTCATCCCAGCGAGGGATATCACTAGCCCCAGGGAACTGCTGACGCCAGGCGTCCGTCAGGCGGCCAAAGCAGCGCTGGGTGGCGTGGGCACCCCCACACTGCTCACCCGCCTGGTCGCCGGAACGAAGAACGTAGGTGCAGGGACCAGTACCCCCACCCCTCTGACGCCCAGCGTACCACTCACGAAGCTGCTGAGGCAAAGGGATGTCCCGCGAGCGCTGCTGCTGCTGCCGCTGCGAGCGCTGGCCACCACCACCGCCGCTATGCTGCTGGGTACCACCCCGACCAGCTCCACCTCCTCCACCACCACTGCCCCCTCCGCTGCCACCTCCACCGCCTCCACCTCCGCCGCTGCCTCCACCACCACCGGTGGCACCACCACCACCGTCTCCGCCGCTGCTGCCACCACCACCACCACCACCCCCGCCACTAGTCCCGCCGCCACCCCCACTCCCTCCGCCGCCACCGCCGCCACCGCCACCGCCCCCTCCAGCTCCACCCGCGCCCTTGCCCCCCTTGCCCTTGCTGGAGCGGCGTCTCCCACTAGGGGCAGACGCCGCGTCGACCGACTCAAGACCAAGCAGGTCGGCAGCAGCAGCAGCAGAGGCAACAGAGGGCAGCAAGGGGGAAGGAGAGCACCCCTCAAAGATGGGGGTGCGAGGGTCACCACGAGAAGCACCTACAGCGACTATGCTCTTCTCCGCTGCGAGGAGGGCCTTCTCGAGGAGGTCGACGGTGAGGGTGGTGGGACAGACTGCGAGAAAGTGGTCCCTGACGACTCGAAGGGAGTCAGGGAGGCGCGCGACTACGTAGTAGAGAGCGATGTACATGGGGGGGGGGTTCTTAGCGCAGAACTCAGCAGGAAGGGCGGCGCGGTAGCGAGTGTCACTAGTGCGGAGGTGCGTAATGAGGTCAGCGACAGTGGGAAAGGCAGAGAGGTCAGGAAAGAGGTAGGGAAGCATGAGACGGCTCAGTGCAGCAGTGGCAGGGGAGGAGTAGCGCGCAACTACAGCGTCGTACAAGGTCTGAGCACTCTTGTACTGACTGAAGTGCGCACGCTCAGAGGTAGGGAGGTGGCGACGCACAGCAAGACGTGCAGCAGCATCGCGGGTGGCCCACTTAGAGCGGACAGCGGGATCAGCATCAGCAGCAGGAGCAGGAGAGGCGCCAGAGGTGAGATCAAAGAGAGAAAGGTCGTCAGCCCTGTCGCACTGTAAGAACAGCTGCAGGTCGTCTAACCAGACCTCAAAATCAATGGCGCGACCCTCAGCGTCAAAAGCTAGGACACTAGGGGTAGCCATGGCGACGACAGCGACGCAGTGCAAGCAGCAGGGAAAGAGCTCGCAGTGTCAGTGGGACTGTGCTCACCAGGCAGGGCAGGTCGTGTAGGTATGCAGAAAGGCGGCTCAGGGACCTGGCGGCTCGGGTGCAGGGCGGCTCGGCTGCTGGGCGGCTCGGGCGCAGGGGCGGCTCGGCTCCCGGGCGGCTCGGCGGCTGGGCGGCTCGGGTGCAGGGCGGCTCGGCTCCCGGGCGGCTCGGCGGCAGGGCGGCTCGGGTCCCGGGCGGCTCGGCGTCGGGCGGCTCGGCTAACGGGCGGTTCGGCTGCTGGGGCGGCTCGGCCAGGAGATGCAGGGGCGGGGCCGTCAGGTGCAGCGGCGGGTTGAGCGGTGCAGTGGCGGGCCGGCAGGTGCAGCGGCGGGCCGGCAGGTGCAGCGGCGGGCCGGCAGGTGCAGTGGCGGGCCGGCAGGTGCAGGCGGCGGGCCGTAGGGTGCAGCGGCGGGCCGTGGGGTGCAGTGGCGGGCCGGCAGGTGCAGCGGCGAGGCCGTCAGAGGCGGCGGGCCGGCAGGTGCAGCGGTGAGGCCGTCAGAGGTGGCGGGCCGCTGGGTGCAGCGGCGGGCCGGCAGGTGCAGTGGCGGGCCGGCAGGAGCAGCGGCGGGCCGGCAGGGGAGGCGGCGGAGCTGCGTCAGGGGAGGCGGCAGGGCCGCGTCAGGGGAGGCGGCGGAGCCGCGTCAGGGGAGGCGGCGGTGCCGCGTCAGGGGAGGCAGCGGAGCCGCGTCAGGGGAGGCGGCGGGGCCGCGTCAGGGGAGGCGGCGGGGCCGCGTCAAACAGGCGGCGGGGCCGCGATCAGGAGAGGTGGCGGGGCCGCGTCTGAGGGACAGCGGGGCCGCGAGGGAAAAGGCGACCCGAGGGGTCGCTAAAAAAAAAGGGCGCGCCTCGAGGCGCGCTTCGGTGGGCCCTAAAAAAAACGGTCCTAAGGCAGGACCCGCTCTATACCATGTGAAGCAAGGAAAAACAGGAATGAAATGACTATGGAAGATTGGGTACAAATACAACCCTAGAAACCCTGTACCCCATATGTGCTACCCCACTATAGCCTACAGAAACTATGTCATATAAATCTGACAATCTGGATGCGTTTTCAAGATGGATCAACCCTAAAAACAAACATTCATGGCGTTTAGGGTTGATGCCTCCCGTATCCGGGCGGTTTTTTTTTTTTTTTTTTTTTTTTTTTTTTTTTTGGTCTGCGCGTTTCGATCAGGAAGGTTAAATGAATTACCATTAATATAAATATGTCGCTTTGGACTCACAATTCAACACGGCCAATGTAAATTTGAAAAACATGCGACGCGCGCGCTGTAGTAGAATACCCAAATAACATAAAATAAGAAACTCGGTGCATTAAGCATTTACCGTTGTTTTACGGTTCGGCTTGCTCGCCTAACCGCTTGGGCAGCTCCGGGTTAATATCTCACAGTCGAGATTTTCGAGCCCTACTTTGGTCATCTCTCTAGTACTCTTCGGCCCCAATTGTGAAGATTAGAACGAGAATGAAGAAGAGAGGGTTTCACTAGCAGCAGTTGGGATACATATAGCAAACCCTAACAGGGTTGTACTCGCTATAGAGCACCCCACTACAGGCTAGATAATTATAACATTCTGACACCAGTTTGATCATTTCCCCCCGAGGTTACCGACAGGTGGTGACCCACAAGTGACCCTCCCAACCTGCGGGAGCGAATCAGACGCGAGACGTGTGACCCCCCTGATACTTTCCCAACTTGTGGGAACGAATCGTACGCCACCCGCATACGCGTTGTAAATGTCTTCAACAGTAACAATATTACAGTACAGTGCAGCTTATTATTTAGTAATTAAGACATGAAGTTTGCTCGTGATATAACTACAAAAGAAACTATAGCAATCAATTACGTTGTTATTAATACGGGCTCTAAAAGCCGTCAGACTTTCAAGTTAGCATTTCTGATGACAATATTTACACGAATAGTGATCACTTGCACTTGCACGATTCCACTATTTATTATCAAAATTGCAGTACAATACAACAAATAACACGCTTTCCTCTGAATGACCCTAAAAACTGTCAAAACATATTGTTTGTTCATGTTTCTTTAGGTTGTGTAGGGGTCACACCTTAGAGGGTACAACCCAACTCTCTCGACATCCTTGTACCCCCTCCCTCTTACCCAATGCACACTTGTTCCTAGCTAATTTCGACATGGTATTAAGAGCACAATGCTCCTTAGGACCGAATTTTCAAAAGGGCCCACCACTACTATTTCGATCTACTGCCTGAGTCGCGCCCCTAGGAGAAACGCGAAATTCGAAACCATGCTCTAGGCGAGACGGTTCCTTTTTCTGCCCTAGATGCGATTTTCCTTCCTAGTCACATTCGACCCCCCCCTGACCGCGCCCTAGATGCCAGTACAGCCCGCGTAGGCCTGTCGCGAAGCCCGTACAGCCCGTGTAGGCCCGTCGCGAAGCCCGTACAGCCCGCGCCAGGCCAACGCGCAGCCCGTACAGCCCACGTCAGGCCCGCACCCAGCTTGTAAAGCCCGCGCCAGGCCCGCACGCAGCCCTTACAGCCCGCGCCTGGCCCGCACGCGGCACTCGCTGCTGCTGCTACGCTGCTGCGCCTGAACTGTTGCTGCAGTGCTGCTGCTACTTGGTGCAGTTGCTCCTCGTTGCTACTGCTGCTGTTACTTGCTGCAGCTACTCCTCCTTGCTACTGCTGCTACAGCTAGCACTACTCACTGCTGCTGCTACTGACGCTACTCATGTTACAGCTAGCGCTACTCACTGCAGTTGCTACTGAAGCTAGTGCTGCTACAGCTAGTGCTACTGCTGCTGCTGCTACTACGGCACTTGCTACAGCTGCTACTGACTGAAGCTCCTGCGGCTACAGCTAGTACTACTGCTGCAGCTCCTACTACTTCACTTACTACATCTACTATTCATTGAAGATACTCCAGCTACAGCTAGTGCTACTGCTGCAGCTCCTACTCCAGCACTTACTGCAGCTGCTCCTGACTGAAGCTACTGCTGCTACAACTAGTACTACTGCTGCAGCTCCTACTACTTCACTTGCTACAGCTAGTACTACTGCTGCAGCTCCTACTACTGCACTTGCTACAGCTAGTGCTACTGCTGCTCTGCCATTGTGTCCGAGCCGCGCCGCCCAGCCCGAGCTGTCACTGCTGCTGCTACTACAACTACTACTGCTACAGCTAGTGCTACTTGGTCTACTGCTGCTGCTGCTGCTGCTCGGTCTGCTGATGCTGCCCGAGTCGCCCTGCTACTGCTGCTACTGGAGGGAGTACTGCTGGGAGTGGTGGAGGTGCAGCCTCCCACCCCCACCGAACCGCCCTGCTGCTGTTACTACTGCTGCTGCTGCTACTTGTGCTACAGGGAGTGGAGGAGGTGCTGCTGGGAGTGCAGGAGGTGCTGCTGGCGCTGTAGGAGCTGGAGGTGCTGGACCTACTCCTGACAGTCACTGTCTGTCATGGCCACTTCCGTGGCAGACGCTGCGGCCAGGGGTGGACAGCAGCGGGCACTGCTTCTCCCGGACGACCCCACCCCTCGGCAACTTCGTGAGTGGGTTATTCAGCGAGGTCGTCCTAGTGGTGGAGGTTATCGTTCTGTTAAGACTGCTGCTCTTGGTGTTAGTGAGTCTGCTGCCACTCCAGGTGTTAGTCAGTCTGCTGCCACTCCAGGTGTTAGTGAGTCTGCTGCCACTCCAGGTGCTAGTGAGTCTGCTGCAGCTCTAGGTGCCCGTGAGTCTACCGACGCTCTAGTTGCTAGAGCGTCTACTACCACGGGTCCTGCCTCAGCTGAGGTCTTGCACACTTTCACGCTTGACTCCGACGCGTCACGTTGCTTCTTCCGTGTTTGCACCACAGTCACACCACTCACAGCACCTGTCCCAGTCTCACTGGCTGACCCCTCTAGGGGCCCAGTGGTTGCGAGAGCCTCCACGGTCCTCCCTTGTCGAGCAGTCCCCTCCGGCTCTTTGTCAGGTCTCCACCTCCCCACGTTCTCGACGAACTTGGTGAGCAACACTGCCATTCAGGATGTCTGGGTTGATACCTTTATTCCTGGAGGGCAGCGTGTGGCGATCTGTACGTGCTCCCGGACTGGTCGTCACCTGGCTACGTTCACTTGACAGCCTGGGTCTAGTTTGTACACACTGACCACTGCGTCTGCACAGGTGGCTGAGTCAGGTCAGGTAGCTGAGTCAGGTCAGGTAGCTATGTCGAATCGAGCGTCTGCGTCAGGGCAGTTAGCTGCATCTTGCTCGTGCCGAGTACTCACGCACGACACTCAGCGCTGGTACCACCGTCTTGGTCACCCCTTCCTGCAACGTCTGCGCCGCATGCACTCCCGGCTCCTAGTCGCTGGCCTCCCTGAGACCCTGCCCCCCCTCCCGCGCTCACTTGCGCCGCCGTGCCTTCCTTGCGTCGAGGGGCGGCAGCGCGCCGCTCCTCACTCCTCCGAGTTTCCTCCGACCACTGCTCCTCTGCAGACTCTCCACATGGACGTGTGGGGCCTGGCCCCCGTCGGTGGAACGGACCAGGAGCGCTACTTCCTGCTGGTGGTTGACGACTATACACGCTACACCACAGTCTTTCCCTTGCGGCGCAAGGCGGATGTCAGTGGTGTCTTGATCCCCTGGATCCGTGCTACTCGTCACCAGCTGCACGAGCGGTTTTGGCGGGACTTTCCAGTCCTGCGTCTGCACTCTGACAGGGGTGGTGAGTTTTCCGCTGGCGTCCTTGAGACGTTCTGCCAAGATGAGGGCATCGCCCAATCGTTCATGCTTCCGGCCTCTCCGCAGCAAAATGGGATCGCTCAGCATCGCATTGGCCTGATCATGGAGGTTGCTCGTACCTCCATGATCCATGCGGCTGCTCCCCATTTCTTGTGGCTGTTTGCGGTCCGATACGCCGCGCATCAGCTCAACCTCTGGCCCCGTGTCTCTGCTCCAGAGACCTCGCCCACA